CAGAATAACAGAGCTACAGAAGACCGTCCTCCTTGGAACTGCTCACATACTTAGGAGGACTCTATCCATCAAGTAATCCAGCAGACTTATGAATGCCCTTGGTTCACGGATTGAACTCGGCACCATAAGTTAAATGCGGCAAGACTTTAAGGACTTATAATAATAATAATAATAATAATAATAATAATAATAATATGTCTAAATAGTATGCTGTCAAAAGCAGGAGTAACAGGGGTGGCAAATGTTCCCTCAAAAACCATGGGTCTTGCACAATTTAGATTGAATTTCACAGCTGGTCTTCTTACAGTCTTGTTTATTTTACCAATTATGTACATCTCGTGGTCTTGCTTTTTTTTACAGCTTTAATTCTTGGAGTCTTGATTTTGGAAAGGCTAAGAAAGTTGCGAAGCCTTAATTTGTTTGTTTGTTTTTATAAATGATGCCTGGATCCATGTACTGTTAGAGTCTGGATGTCTCTCACTTGCATATAAAAATAATGCTTCAATGAAGTCTCAGGCTCACAATTTTAAAAAGTCAAATTGTCTCAGGCTCATGAAGAAAAACGCTTCAGTCTTGTGTTCTTGCGAAGTCTCATGATTGACATTTACCATTCACCTCCCCTAGTAGCTAAGGATAAAAATGATTACATACATACCTTATTTGACATATAGTTCATTAACCATGGCAACAATGCAGCTGATATGAACCTGCCTAATTATATATAACCTAAGTACAATAGTTGTTTACACTAGCTGGGCTTGAAGTGGTTGAGGAAGGGCGGATGGGAGAGAGGGCAGATGGGGGGAGAGGGCGGATCGGGGGTGGGGTGGTAATGATTGCACACTCTCCAGGTGACAAGTGCATTTCCCATCTACTGTAAGCAAATTGTTCTTTTTAACAATAATGAAATTGTAAATTTCATTGTAACTACATGTTGACATCATGATATTTATTGTTGCCATTGCATAAGCCTAGGCTTTGAGCTTGAGGTCTGGACAATGATCTGTAAGTTACAATCTTACCATAAATTGCAGCCACAGAGCTAGTCAACACAACTCTTTTAACACCACCCTTGGTCTTGGCGCAAGCTTCAAGTACATTTTTAGTTCCTTCCACTGCCGGTCCTATAACCTCCATCTCATCTCTTGGATTTTCGGCCGGGAAGGGGGAAGCCACATGAATTACATAGGTGCAGTCTCTGACAGCCCTTAATAAGAAGAAGAAAAGACAAACTAAATACCGGTACTATAATTTATGTTTTACAAGACAGTATATGGCTAAAATAAGGTCAGTCTCTTAATAGCTTTCTACCCATGGTTTCTTCCATCTCCTGTCACTGAAGACCTGAACCCATGATATTACTCCTACATATGGCAATCAAAAAAGTGACAAGAGTGATTGTCACAACTTTTAGGAGTTGAATTAATTAGTGGCTTGATACTACATGCTGGGAGCCTAAACTTTACTAATAATGGCCAGAATAGTTCAGCAGAATGATGCTGTTTACAGAGATGAATAGATTAGCTTATTGGGGAGACCTAAGTAAAGTCAATTAACATTTTGGCCATTCCAGGGAGCCACTGAGTGGCATAAATACCTAACTGAATTATAGCATTATATAAGGGAAATTCTGAACTTGCTCTGCTGCATTATTTGTTGAATTACGTTAACACTTGAGAATTTAAAGAACACTCAAGGAAGGTGAAAAACACTTCTTGTAATTTCATTTATGTCCACACCCTCACACATAGCACCCTGCAAGCAGAGCCTTTTCTTGCTGTACCTTCTTTTATACGTTCTGCAAGGTGCCTACATAGACGATGTAAGTAAAAAACTGTTCTGGACCCCTGGAGTGAAAGATCCATGGACTGACATGGTACCACCTAGGAATTTCCTGGTTTAAATTCTTTACCCCAGAAAAAAAGCCATCTTTCATACTTTCATCCTCACAATTATTCAAAGGTTAAAGCTCCCCCTCCCTGTGAAGGGTCTCAAACCCTGACCCTACCCTTTACCCCCTAAGAGTGCAAATTGGCACACAAGGTCATAACTTTGTGAATATTTGATAGATTTCTAAGAATTTTTGCCATGAAAATTGTCTTGTGAAGATCTACTCATTAAAGTCATAAAATTTTGACCCCCTCCCATCCAAGAAATGGTTGACCACCCCCAGAAGTTTTTAGTTCCTTTTTCCGGATGCAAATGGAATGCAAGACTTGTTTCATATCAAGCTATGCACTAAGAGCTGCTAAATAAGCTATAGTTTAGGGGTATACCTAATATAGTAGAAGATTGATACATTTTTGAAGTCGTTCATTTTCCCATTTTAAAGCAATTTCTCTCAAAATATCTACCTCCTTCATAGCTGCTGATGTCAATTCTTAAATAAGCTGATTAGTGGCTTTCAAATGGCATATTGTACACAGGCAGAGTGTCTTTATTTACCAATTTGGGAAAAACTGCCGTTCGCCTTAGGGGGTAAAGGGATGAAGCAAATGAAAATTGATACCCTATTTAGGCCCAGACCCAAAATTGACACCCTTTTCGAGGGAAAAAACAGAAACTACGAAAAGTGTGAACGGATCAACTTCATCTTGTTTCTGTAACACTGGAAGTTAAGGGATAGTTCGGTTTTAACGTATCATTTGTTTTTCGTTCAGCTGGGCATTTACACACTGCAATTTTAGCTGATACAATTTTAACACCCTATCTAAGGCTCACACACTGGGAAAACAATGCCTACAGGGCCAAAAAGATACTGCATTTAAGGTTGAGAACCTCAATAATCCTACCTATCCCACAGCAAATACCTATATAGCACATAGATGGGAGCACCCCCACCCCCTGCTGGATATTAAATAAGGCCAATCATCTATCTCGCACCCCCCCCCCC